TTGTGTATTAAAGGTCGTATCTTAAACGTTTAGAGTCACTTTTCGAGTGAAGACACAACAGAATAAACAAGAGAAGTTTGCCTCAGAGCCCTCTGTAAGATTCAAGACATTAGCAATGTCAGGACACCTCAAGAGTAAAACACACAACGAGGTTGTAGAACTGGAAAAGACTCAGAGGGGAAGCATTTTTCAAAAAGAGATCACAAACAGAAAAGCTGCTGAAGCTAAAACTATTGAATGCATCATGCACAATCTCCATTTTCTAATGAAAGAGGAGATTTCCAATAGGAAGGCGGCTCAACTGAATCAGCTTGTGGCATTGCAAGGATGTGACGAGATGAAGTACTTTCAACATAAGAGTAAGAGAGTACAGAAAGAAATGATGTTAGCATTAGGAGATGCAGTATGCTAGACCTTTCTTTCAGAAGTTCAGGCAGCCAGATGTTTTGGCACATTAGTGGATGATCTTACAGACATATCTGTACAAGAGCAGGTGATATGTTTCATCCAGTATCTCAATCAAAAAGCTACAAAACACACCAAATTCTTGTTCACAACCAACTTGTTAAGAGGCAATAGCTGCAGTGCAAATGCTCCAACCATAAAAGCTGATTTACTTTAAGGGCTGGAAGGTAAAAACCTGGATACCAGCAAGCTTGCCTCCACCTGTACAGATGGAGCCTCAGTCATGACAGGTGAACAAAATGGACTAGCTGGACTCCTTCGCAGAGATTTTCCCACCATTCTCACATTCAATTGCGTCTGTCATCGACTGGCTTTGGCAACTGTTGATACCAGCAAAGAAGCTGACATGAAATGCATCGAGAATGTCCACAACTGCCTGAGGCAAGTCTGGCAGCTTCTTGAAAACTCATCAAAGAAAATGGCCACTTTCATTAAGATTCAGGCAAACCACAACAACGTCAGCCTCAGTGGAAAAGGGGAGGAAGGCTGTGGCAACGAAGCTACAGAAGGCTTGCAAGACATGTTGGTGGAGCTTTGAAGCATCTGTGAAATCTGTGAAGTGTTTATACCCCCTCGTCATGGCTTTAAAGCAACTGGATCCTGACAGTGCAGCAGCTGGTGGCTTGTACAAGAAAATGTATTCGGTTTATTTCCTGGGAACCCTTTATTTGCTGCACGAGGTACTTCCCATACTCAGCATCCTCAGCAAAACCTTTCAAACAGGCAGCCTTTCTTATGCATACATCAAAGGAAGCATCAATTATGCCAAAGATCAGCTGCATCAGCTACTGGAAGGGGCAAAGAAGGTGGCATTCTTGAGAGATTTAATTTCTGATCTGGAAGAAGATCCTCTGTCCTTAACCATCACTAACCTGACCCAAGAAGATGTAAAGAGATTGATCACCCTGAAAGTTCGATACATCCTAAGTCTTGTTCAAAACATTATTATTAAAGTGACCAAATTTATTGTTTTACTGTAGAAAAGAACAGCAAGACTTCAAAAACTATGGAGAAACTGATGGGCTATTATAGGCTCAACATTTTGCTTCTCATGCTTGTGATCAATTTATGGCAGAATGGCATCACTTCAAATTTGATCTCATTGACTTTCAAGGGGTTGGTTAACGACTTAAAAGTGCAGCATCAAATTAGTTCACTACAATTGTAATACTCTCAAAAATCTCATGGTAACCTTTTCCTAATTTCTTTCTTTCAGGACATGGATACCTCTTTGAGACAGCTTTGCCAGTCTCAGAAACAGTATCCACTTCTTTCTCACATTGCAGAGATTTGCTACTCTGCTCCAGTAAGCAATGCTTGGCTGGGACGAGGAGTTTCTGCTGTAAAGTGAATTAAAACAAGGTATTCTATCATTGTAAAGTATAATCAGTTCTTTGGTTGGTTAGTTTTCTCTGTGAAGGAAATTAGTACTTTAACCCTATGTGTCATTAATATTCGTAGACTCCAGACCTTGCTCAAAGACGACATGTTAAATGTTCTTTTATACGTTTCCATTAATGGGCCATCTTTGGCTGCAGCAGATGGCGTAATTCAAGAAGCTACCAAGGTAAACCATTACACTGACCTTTTTATCCCTTTAGTCTTGTATTAGTCCTTGTTTATTATTTTTGTTTCCAATTACATATTTTGCCTTTCTTTGCAGACTTGGCTAACGGACAAATCTCGGTATAAACTCGACAATGCAAGCCAGGCACGGCAAGTACTTAGAGGAAAGGAGGAGCTACCTGTTGTTTTCTACTCTGCTGGAAAACAAACTGAAGAGGCAGGCTTAAATCTTGAGGCAGAGATGGAAGAGGCAAAAGAGGAATAAAAACAGGCCAACTATGTGACCGTTGCAGAGAGTTTGGATTTGGGGGAAGACAATACAGTCTGCAATACAGATGATGTAGATTCAGGACTTGATTCTGTCTCTGAGGATAATTTTGAGCTTGGTAGTTTAAAAACTTACCCTATGAACTCTCACTTTGTGCTTTACTTTAAACGAAATCTTTTTGTAAAGTTATATGTTACAGTAAGAGTTTATCTTCATGCTGTTGGATTTTCTCGTCAACCCATTAATGTGGAAAATGTTATGTCAACAGTGTTGATGCACAGAAATGCATGTAAAACAGACAAATATACTGTCCCAGCAAACATTGTTAATGAAGTTACAGTTGTGGCCCGGCTGAGTTCCACTTCAGTCTCAGTTTTCGTCAAAAAGCAAAAACCTGCATAAATATTCCAACATTTCTTGCATACTTGGCATCATGGTAGATGCCAAATTTAGATGCTCAGAATGCACCAGATTGCACCTCAGAGTACTTCAAATTTTGAAAATTTTGCACGGGGGCATGCCCCCGGACCTCCCTAGAAGCTTGTGCCTTCGGTGCTTCGCAAGGGCGCTGCCACACCCAACTTCCCTGCCTGTTCAAAATTCATCTAATGCTACTTCATTTGAAAAGGAAAACCCTGGGACTATCATTCTGCCGGTACCTGCCTGCTAAACTAAAAAAGTATGAGCAATAGCCGAGTGTCAAATTTTTCTGTTTACCTCGGAAAGTGGTAAACGAACATTGTATTCATGGCCTTGGATAAGAAGTCATGACGAAAATGGTGACTCCTTTCCTAAATAAAAAGAAGCACATATTTTTGAACAATTTTCTTTTGAGTACTTTCTCCTCTGATTGTCTTCTTGCTCAGAACACTTACACATGTGGAACAGTTCACTACAACAGGAAGGATTTACCACCGTGTACTAAACAAAAGCTCAAGCAAGAAGAGTGGCCTTGTATTTTTCACCAAATGGAATGACAAGCCAGACATTTCTTTTGCGTCGACAAATGTTTCCCCTAGTGAACCCTCTCAACCAGTACAGCAAAAGAAAAAAGGTGAAAATATTGAAATTCAAAAGACACGAGTTGCTGATGTTTATTTATTGTGCGTGCATATGTTCCATTCTGGAATACGCATGTCAGGCCTTCCATACTAGTTTGCCAGCCTATTTGTCCGACCAAATAGAGAGAGTTCAGAAAAGAGTCTTAAGGACCCTATTCCCAGAGGTTTGTATAGCAAGGCCCTGGAAGATGTGGGTTTAAAAGCACTCTTCCATAGACGTGAGGAACTATGTAACAGTCTGTTTAAACAAATAGTAGAGAGTGACCATCATAAACTAGCTGGCCTGCTGCCCGCGCGCGATTACAGTGAGAGATATAATTTTAAGACTAGGCGTATGTCTTCAATCCTGAATGGAAAACAAGGAGGTTTAGAAATACTTTCATAATGCACTTTACAATTAAACAACAAATGTAAATACTAGTAATAAATACTAGTAATTAATACTAGTATAGTTAGGAATTTTTAGAGTTTGAATTTTCAAACATGTTGTATATAACACAAGTAATTCAGTTTATAGCTGCAAGTTGTGGTTTTTCAATGAACGATTTACTTTACTTTACACCTACTTCATGGGAGGAATTGATTATACATATCAACCTTGCTCATTTTACTATACAGGCTTGCAATCATGAAAGTGGTACAGATATATTTTCCGGTTTTTGTTCCATTTGTCGATCTGCAATGGCTTTGTCCTGTTCAGCATTCATTGTGGAGAATGGGGTGAGAAACCATTGCTAGACTTCAGGCTTGAACTTGCCAAACAACTTGTAAATGGCTTTTCTCAAAAGAAGAGAAAGAGACACTCCCTTGATGTTCAAAGCCAAACTGCTGTGGATCCAAGACAGCATATTTCTGTCCATGTAGAAGGAAGAGAAAGTGTGTGCAGTGCATCAAAGCAGGTAGGAGAACCCTGAAAGGTTACAAAGTGGAGACACGTTTCAAGTGCAAACTCCGTACAGTAGCACTCTGTCTTACATGCCACAATGAGTTCCACATGCATTCAGAATAAACTCCCGTTTAAGCTCCAACACCTTAGATTGACTATTTACCAGTTTTATGAAATATCTGAAGGGAGTGCACCAAGTTTCTTTGCTTTACACGTTTCTTGTTCAACATACCAAGCATGGTGGTGGCATTAATGGTGGCAAATTTGAATTTTTTTCCATTTCTTTACTTTCTAGAGGCACTGCTTAACACTGTTAACAGATTAATTGCAGTCAAAGTTATGAATGGGCAAAATAACAATCAGACTAATTTTTTCCATTATGGGATATAACATTACATTAAAATCTACTGAGCATGTATGTTTTGATTTTGTGTTGAAGCCTTGGTGGTGCCTAATTAAGTATTGAGGAACAAGGGCTTTTGGGCCTAATTAGCTTATAATAGTGAAAGGGTTAACCCTTTCAGCCCCGATAGTGCGTATCTGCACTCTTGCATGACTGTGTTACATTCCCGATAGTGCATATTTGCACTCTGTGGAGTGCTTGCCCTTTGACCAATAAAAAACGCTCTTACTTGGTTGCTACATGGTTGAAGGTTCCCTGGGGTTTGACATAGAAGCACAAGCTGCTGTTTTTCGACCGAGAGAACAAGAATCAGAGTCAGACGTTTCAGTATCTTCTGTTCCGACTGAAGAGTTATCAGACTTGTCCGAGAGTGAAGAAGAAGAAGACGACGACAGTCAGTGGAATGACAACAACAATCCAGTCGAAGTCTCACCGTTCACCGCCGCCACTGGTCTGACCTGGGGAGTCACAGAGGATGGAACTGCGATTGACTTTTTCTACTTAATGTTTCCAGAGGACTTGATTGAACATATCGTCAGTGAAACTAATCGATTTGCACAAGAATGCATCGCTGCAAAACCTGACCCTAAATGGCGTGAATCGACACTTGAAGAGATGAAAGCGTTCCTCGGAGTACACGTGTTGTTTGGCATCAAACAGCTGCCAGCAAATCACTTCTACTGGAGCAGTGATCCACTCATCATTGTTCCATCTGTACAAAAAGTCATGTCCAGAAATCACTTTCATAAATTGTCTCATTACTTTCATTTGAATAACAACGCAAGACGAGTTCCGTGAGAAGATCCGAGACATGACAAGTTGTTCAAAGTTTGCCCCGTACTGGACTGCGTTGTTGAAAATTGTAAAGAGAAACTACGACTGGGGAGAAATTTGTCTGTGGACGAAGCCATGGTTAAATTTAAAGGACACCTTGGCATGAAGCAATATTTACCAATGAAGCCTGTAAAGCATGGCATTAAAGTGTGGGTTTGTGCAGAAGCGTCAAGCGAGTATGTTTGCGATTTCCAAGTTTATACTGGAAAGAAACAAGATGGCGCGACGGAACAAAATCTTGGTTATCGTGTTGTTCACGATCTGACCCGCAACTTTGTCGGAAAAAATCATCATGTTTTCTTTGATAATTTCTTTTCGACTGTTAAGCTTGCCGAGGATCTCCTGAAAGACGGCATATACTGTTGCGCAACGGCACGAGCGAACAGAAAAGATTTCCCCAAAGATCTTGCCGCGAAGAGTCCAATTGTGAAGCGTTTGAAGCGGGGAGAGTCTATTCATCGGCGAAAGGAGAACGTTGTCGCAACCGCGTGGAAGGACAAAAAGATCGTTCATTTTTTAAGCACGCAAAGTAATCCTATTGGAAACGAAAC